TGAGTATGTGTGGTTCTGAGAAGAACCGGGGAATAACTCGACGTTTCGAACAGTGTACTCTGTCCGTCTTCAGGAGACTCAGTCTCCTGAAGACGAGACTCAAAGAAGAGATAAATACATGGTGTTACCGCAATCTTTACTATAGATCTAGTTTCTTTCACCATGAAAACCTTTAAGTCTTATAAGCATAAAAGTAATAAGAAAAGAGGCGACGCTATAGAACACAATAAAATCATCGACTCAAGACTGTATGTCATCGAGGCTGGCCGCTCTTCGGAATCCAGCAATCAAATCATCACACTAAACTACGGAATTCCATATCTGCCCTCGCCAGGCGCCCGTCGTCTGTCGCCTCTTGCTTTTGTTGTCCCAATCTGCCATTTTCCAGTTCCATATATACCGTCGTCCGCAGTGCGTCGCCCGTACGTCGCCCGTCGTGCGTCGCCTTTCTGAGAATTCAACCAAGTATTTTTAAAGAAAAACATTTTCGCAAAATATTTAGGCAAACTTATCCGCAGTGCAATTTATCCTTGCATACTGTAAAAATGAGCTGACTTGTTTTCATGAAATTCTAGAAAGAAATCTGCCAGCCGATACAGATATTCCATTTTCCCTTTCAATTTCACCTTGAAATTCACAAACAATAGGCAGGAAATTTTTTTTTGTCAATTGTGCTGTGGACAAGTAACTGCTTATTGAATGTTAAGGGCAATTATTACTTGTGCACATCCTTTGGTCGAATTCGGGCGGCCTGTTCTTGACACAGGTTTCTTGTTCTCGCTCTCGAACAGTGGGAACACGACTCAAGAACACTGTTCTGAGAACAGGATCGTTAGGTTTCACAAGAACACACGGAAAGACAGCTGCAAACGTGGCAAAAAGTAGAGTGGTGGCTTACAATGTCACAGTTTGCTCACTTTAGGGCCACTGTAACTAGAAGGATTAGATGCAGGCCGGAAAATGATTGTAACAAAACACAATCTGTACTATTCACAATATTTATACAACTCTGTGGTCAAAGTTAAATTAAACTTATCAAATGAATGTGTCTATACACACACACATGAAAATCAGTATATGCAATTCAAGTATTTACAGGTAAGCATGTGTGAATTCAAATTTCAAATTCACTGTAAATTCACAAATCTAATGCATCAAAGAGATATACACTTGATAGTTTCCAATCCTTTGTAATATAATGCTGTAAAATTTCAGAATTATCAATCGAAGTTCCTCCGAGGAAAATCAGTATTTGAAAGAAAACTTCCAAACAAATGTCAGTATCAATTCAATGAATTTACCAGGTATGGTGGAATTTAGTTCACTAGGCGAAATGCCCAACAAATTGCAGTATAAACTCCGGAGAAAACAGGGTTGATTAAAAGCATGCCATAAGCTGGAATAATCTGAAAGGCTCAAGGCATGTAATAGAAGATCTTTGAGTCAAAACTTGCAAGTGTTATCGCTACGTCTGCTCTCAATTTTAAAATATCTGACATACAGTTCGGTGTAATATCGAATTCGTCCCTCCTTGATTACAAGAATCTGCCCTTGCTAACTTGCTCATCAACTCTGGTACATCTGCGGGACCACCTCCGCACAATTGTACGGCTGCAAGTTTCACTACGGGTTTAGGGAGTTACTACCGAGCCTGGTCACTGGCTAGGGAAGTTATCAGCTCCTTCTCAAGGACTCTTGTGGCTTGTTGCAAGTTCTTCTACCAACTGCCCACACGCGCTGCCAAGCAACCCACACAAATTGTATGACCTAATTCTGAGGGAGTTAGGATTTCAATAAGTGGGGGAGCAAAATCAATTCTATTACATAATTATTAGGAAGATCAAAATTAGAGCGGGAAAAGTTTAAACAACGTTGTGGCTCATGTTATTTATTTCCTGGAGACAAGGCTGATAGTTGGTCGTGACGCTCTTTCTAATTACATTTGATTAAAAAAAAACAAACCTTTTCTTCAACAACTCACTCTTCATGAAAACACAAAGTTAGAAAGTAACTTAATATGCATGAAAAAGAACAATAACAGAAACAAGACCTGCTACCTATTCGCTCTTTGTACGCTACCGCCATAGGCATGCAGAGCCTCGATCTGGCAGCTTTTTCCGTGTATGTTGGTAAGTAATTTTGGGCATGATGTTCCGTTAGTTCTTCTACCATCTATACTATACGATTGGACAATATTTCAAAAGCTGGCAGTTCAAGGCTCTGCATGCCCATGGCAGCAGCGTATAAAGAGCGAATACCATGTACTGGGTGCATGCAGTCCACTATTCAAGTAAGAATTTCTACTCAGCTCATTAGCATTAAAAGTAGAAGCCCAGCATTTTTCTGAAAAAAAGGAGATTGTTTGGCCTCCAAAATGTGAGATTGTGTAAATCGTTGCCAGGATCAACTGCCTGGGTCGTTGAGCTATCCTATGAGAGCAGAATGGGAACTGCAACTGAAAAATGGTCCTAAGTGCCCGAGAAGGTTGAGGGTTACCACATGAAAGATGGCTGCAATCAGACTTCGGAAAAATCACTTTTCGGGGGTGATTTTGTTTTGTGGGAATAATTAAAAATGTAATTGGTTAACCCACAATAAATTGAAAAGAAATCGAAAGATTAGGGACCAGACGATGATTTTATTTGTGTTGCAGCAATCCCAGGGATGTTGGTATGCATGTTATTTGGCCCTGAACAAAGCCGATCTAACTCTGTTTTCAATGGGGCTTGAGTTAGTGGAGTGTACCTACCATGAAACTACGGGGGAGGAAATGAAAGAAAAAGTAAAAGCGCCTTCTGTAAACACCAAGAAATAAACGGCGACGCGTCGCGCCGTGCGTCGTGTCGCGCTTCGCGTCGTGCTTCAGGAGACGTATATGGACGACGCAATGCACGACACAACGTACGACGCGACTCACGACAGTACGACACGACGGGCGACGGAAGGGGCGACGTATGGTGTACTATTTACGACAAACATTTCTCTCTCTCTTTAGCCTCCCTCCAGGCGACGCGACCAGACGACGCGACGGCACGACGGCTCCCTTGCGTCGTGCCGTCGGGTTGCACCGTCGCCTTCTTGCCATTACGTTTGTACACACACGACGCATCGCGTCGTGCGTCGCCTGTCGTGCCGTCGCCCGTCGCGTCGTGCTACTTTAGGTATTTTCCATGTTGCCGCCTAAACGTCGCCCCTTCCGTCGCCCGTCGCGTTGTGCTGTCGTGCGTCGCGTCGTGCATCGCGTCGCCTGAAGCACGACGCGACGCACGACACGACGCACGACGCGACGCGTCGTGTGCTGTTGCCCTTTACTTCATGGTGTTTATAGAGGGCGCCTTTACTGTTTTCTTTCACCTTTCTTGCAAAGTACATGCTATTTGCTCTTTGGTGTTGATTTTTCATTGTTTTTATCTCATCGATTCATTTATTGGGATTAATTTCAGTCATATTTTATTGAAAGAAATGATAAAAGTGGACAAGAAAATCCGAATAAATAGGACCTGCTTTCTCAAAATAAGTGGAAACTACAAGCTCAGAATTCGTCACTCCTTAATTTCCCAGTCAATGATTTCTTTTGTTTTCTCTAATTTCCAACGCGCTTGCAAAATACATGCCCTGCGCCGCAGGCGTTGATTTTTCTTTCATCAAATTGAATTAGTTGTGTCATATTTTATTCAAAAAAAAAAAAAAGAAAACGAGCAAAAAGAAAATCTGTCTATGTAGGTGCTCTCACATAATAAGTGTAAGCCCAGAATTCGTCACTTTTTTTACCCGGCTGATCCTTGTTCGAATGTCTGTCCAATTTCTTTTTAAGACCGTTGATGAAGTTCCCATTTGTGGTAAATTTGTAACCTTATAAATATTTCTCTGTGATCCGTGTCAGCAGTTTCCAAGTAGTTCTCTCACTCCTCCAGACAACTTGTCTACAATTGTACGACCGCAAGTTTGAACATGGGTTCAGGTAGTTACCATCCAGCCTGCACTATATTATTACCCTCAGAATATTCAGTCTTCAGTCTTCCTCCAATTTAGTCTGCCTCGTTAACTTCATCAGCACCACACTTTGAATGATATTAGTCCGCCGGCGTGTTTCTTATTAAAACACTGCAGATCCTGCTACCGTTGTGACGGTGTCTTTTCTTCCTGTCTTTTTGGCCTCGCGCTTAATTTCTCATCAGATCTGCATGTTACATTTGGATTTACAATATTTATTAGAAAAATCACAATTAGATTAGGAAAAGCTAAAACATTGTTGTGGCTGACGTTAATGTTATATATTTCCTGGAGACGATG